CAAAAAATCTGTAATAAGAAGACAATTTACGCCCTGGCCCATTCGGCTCAGCAATTAGAGCATCAGCCCACGGACCGAAGAGTCACGGTTCGATTCCAGTCAAGAGCATGTATCTCGGTTGCATTTCATCCCTGGCGGGGTCATGCGGGAGGCAACCAGTCAGTGTGTGTCTCCAAATCGATGTTTCTCTCCCTCTCCCTCTCTCTCCCACTCTATCTGACAATGGAAAAACATCCTTGGGTGAGGATTTAAAAAAAAAAAAAAAAAAAGACCATTTGCCATATTTTATTTGTATTCTCTGTATGTATTTATCAGGTATAGTGTGTATCTAAATAAGACAGTATTATTTGATAAATAATTATTTCACATTTTCCTTATAAAAAGAAAAATGCAAGTGAGAACGATTTAAACAATACATAAAAGTTTAACATGAAAAAGGAAAAGTTACCTCTGAATGGTCACAACAGTCTCCTCATATATAGACCTTTGCTTTTAGTAGATTTCTTCACTTACATACTGAATTTAAACCGTATTTATTGATTTGTTACCATGGAAAATGAGAAATTTAAACTGTTACTTTATACTCTTCTGCTACCACTCCTCATCTCATCAACCCTTTTATAGATTTATTTTTATTCCCTCTCAAATTAAAGTATTACACTTAAATTTCTGTACCTAGCCTATCACTTATAGAGAGTATCTGTTGACTCCACATCATGTTGAATAAAAAAATTTGTGTTGTTACACCTTCCTCTGCTTTTCTAGTTTTAGTTACAGACTTCTATCAACTCTGGTAATGGTTCTGAAATTTAGTAATTCATGGACTATCTTCATGTATTTGCCGAATCAAATAGTACCTATTCTATTATTTACTTAGTATTTTTGCTAAATACAGTTCATATATGTATATGAGTGTGTTTATTTCATTATTACAGTACAACCAGTATCATTTGCTGTAGTAGGTGATCTTAAGTATAATGAAGTCAGAACAATTTTACTTAATTTTAAACATTAAAATTAAAAGGCAACAAAGTACAAATAAAAACAAAAATAATCTACTTATAAAAATGCATGCCTAAAACCTAGTCTGTCCTGCATTCAGAATCTTCATATTGAGTGAAGGGAGGATGGAAACAAATGGAAAGCCACAGGCTCACAGTATATAGCAGATACAGCTCCATCCAAGCATACATCATGAGGACTCCTCATCTGTCATCTAAGCTAATTCCTTGTGTTTCTCTTTTTCTTGAAAGTTGCATGCTCACTTAGGTATAGGCACTGGGGATGAAGAAGTTAAGATGGGAGCTGCTGGGAGCTGAACTTTTAAAAGATTGGAGGAATGGACTTTCAGTTATAGTTATCTCATTAAACTCGAGTGAGGAGGATAAATAAAGGGGAGATATTTCACAATTAAAAAAAAAAAATTTTTTTTAACCTCACCTGAAGTCATTTTTGCATTTATCTTCAGATAGAGCGGGAAGTAGAGAGGGAGGGAGAGAGAGAGAGAGAGAAACATCAATGTGAGAGAGACACATTGAGTGGTTGCCACCCACACAACCTCAGCCGGGGCCAGGGACAAACTGCAACCAAGGTACGTGCCGTTAGCGGGAACCAAACCCAGGTCTCTCTGGTCTGCGGGCCGACGCTCTAACCACTGAGCAAGACTGGTCAGGGAGATATTTCACAATACTAAATTTTAGCTCATGCTGTTTATTTCCAGTCCTGGAATCTATTTTGTGAGTAGCCTGTTAACAAATACATAGCCCCTTTTTGATATATAACATCCATTTTTGATTAGTCAAGGTAAATAAGACTAGCTACTGTTAAAAGTAAACCCTGAAGTCTTAATGGTTTAACACAATAAAAGTTTATTACATGCTCATGTTATAGTTTAGTGTGGATTAGTTAGGGGAGATGGGACAGGTAAGGAATTCCTCCCATTTTGTCTTGATCTACCACCTTGAGATCTTCAGAGTCTTTTCTCTTCAGCTAGTGATTGTCTCATTGTTTTATTAGTATATTAGAAATTTTCTGTACAAGCCAACATCATGAGATAGAAAAATTGATAATTATAATACTATTGTCCTCATTTTTTTTTTTTAAACAATGGTTATTTTTATTATTATTATTTTTTATCCTCACCCGAGGACATTTTTCCATTTTTTGTTCAGGTAGAGTAGGAGGGGGAGAGAGGAACAGAGAGAAAGAGAAACATCGACGTGACGGGACACATCGAGTGGCTGCCACCCGCACAACTGACCAGAGCCGGGGACAAACTGCAACCGAGGTACATGCCCTTAGCGGGAACCGAACCCGGGTCTCTCGGGACCGCAGGCAGACGCTCTAACCGCTGAGCCAAACCGGCCAGGGCTTGTCCTCATTTTTAAGAAGAGGAAACAGAACCATAAAGTGTTTATGTGACCTGTCCAAGGTTATGCAGTGAGAGTGTAGAGCTGAGTCTTAACTCACATCTCTCTGACTCTCCATTTTACCTTAAAAAATTTTTTTTTATTTTTTTATTTATCTCACCAATATTTGTTGAAAACCAGTACTATGCACTGGAAGGAAATGTAGATGGTAACATAGAGATATTACACATTTCCTACCGTATAGTAGTGAAAGTAAATTATACACACACAATAAAAACTAAAACCAAGCAACACAATAAGAAATCTCAGGAAGGAGGGTTTTGCTCTTAGAGTTACTATGAATTCAAGGAGCAGTGTGATGTTTTGGTTACAGTGATCTTGGAAGAATTCATGTTGAGAGTTGAAAGCCTAAGGAGGATCCAGAGACAAAGAGAAGAGAGGCCAGGGGAGGATACCTTATGCTTTGGCAGTGCCCCTTTCCCACCACATCGTCCATCTTCCTCCCAAAATTTTCTCTGGTCCTGTTCTCGGGGAAACATGGAAATAGTCAGTGTGCATCTTCGTGGCCCAGTAATTGAGAACTAGTTCTAATTTATACGTTGGTTATACTTCCTGTTCTATTTTCAGTCTACTTATACTGGGATCTCTATTCAGAGGTAAAGGAAAGAATCGCATATTTCTCTGAGATCAATGTTGACTTCTGTAAAATATTAACCTGACTTCGTAGGAAAGGAATGAAGTGAGTGAAACACATGTTAATTGGTGAGTAAGAGAGGCAGGATGTTAAGCTGGTGTGGATCCTTTCAGCCTTGGGAAAATGCATCTGGGAGGTTCTCTGGACGCTCTACTCATCTATATGCAGTGGCAGTCTGTGTTATGACATGGGTGAACTGAAGAACCTGCAGCTTCTGTCAAGAGCTCTTCCTGAAAGCAATGATCAGATTCACCATATAATTTCAATTCTTTGTGGACTATAAAAGAGACCCTTCACCATTTTTTGAAAGGGATATGAGCAGGAATGTTGGTGGCTTATGCATTATTTAGAGCCTGCAGTTTGCCTCCGATTCACAAGGGAGAAGGACAGCATTGTCGTGGTGGTTTCGATGTATGTGATGGTGAAAATAGAGGTGTTGGATTTTGGAGCTTCTCTGAATTGCTGAGGATACATTAAACCCTCAATTTTTTCCCCATCCATCATTGCAGATAGGTGTCTGGTATTTCATTATATTAAAAAATTATATTGCATGTACATTTGAGAAATGTAGTATAATAATAACTAAATTATTAACTCTAGCTCATATTTTGTCCAAAGTCATGCATATGAAAGGTTTTATAGGACATCATATGGACACAGATTACAGCTAGATTTGGCTTGCTTTTATTTCCAATAATGTCATATAGAACAGTTTTGCCTTGTTTTGAGACATTTTCACTGAGGTACTTGAAAGTTTGGATAAGACAGACTGTTATGTCAAGACACATTGATAAAAAGGCTTGGCAGCAGCACCATCTTATAATTACATAATTTCTCCTCCTTTGCTTTTTGGCCATTGGTGGGTCTCTTATCTCAGTTGTTCTAGATTCCTATGGGCTTTCTCCTTTCTTCAACACAGCTTTGGTCACAATACTGCCAATTAAAAAGTCTTCATTGACTCCTATTTGCACTCCAAATAAATGACAAACTCCTCAAGGTAATAATTAGGGTCATCCAGTGTAACCACCATCCAGAACAAGAAGTAGAATAGAAACAGCACCCAGAAGTCGTCCTTGTTGCTGTCTTCTTGCTCCTCCCCAAGAGTAATCCCTGATTTGAAATCTCTTGCTCATCTTTATGTTCTTGAGACTCATCAACGTTGTTAATTATAATGGTAGTTCATGGCTGTGTAGCATTATTTGCATACCTTCACCAGCAAACTTGGTGTGTATAAGGCTCTTCCTAGATGTGGTTTGGAGAGTGATAAAGTCCAATAAAGCATAAGCTAGTCATGTAGACACAGAAGGTTCAGTATGACCTTTCTGGGACCCTCAGTTTCTGTCCAGACTTCCTCAGGAGCCAGAAACAATGCACAGGATGGCATGAGTGAGCACTTTAAAATTGCTCTGGTTTAGCCCTGGCCGGTTTGGCTCAGCGGTTAGAGCGTCGGCCTGCGGTCCTGAGAGACCCGGGTTCGGTTCCCGCTAAGGGCACGTACCTCGGTTGCAGTTTGTCCCCGGCCCTGGTTGGGTCGTGTGGGTGGCAGCCACTCGACGTGTCCCTTTCATGTCGATGTTTCTCTCTCTCTCTCTCTCTCTCTCTCTCTCTCTCCCTCCCACACTCTATCTGAACAAAAAATAGAAAAAATGTCCTCGGGTGAGGATAAAAAAAAAAATAAAATAAAATTGCTCTGGTTTAGAGCTAAACTTTTCAAGCTTTTTTTCTAAAATTATTATTGTGGTAAAATGCATATAATAAAAAATTCACCATTTTAACTATTTTGAAGTGTACGATTTGGTGGCATTTAGTACATACACAATGTTGTGCAACCATCACTATCGAGTTCCAAAATATTTTCATCACTCAAAGGAAACTCCATAGCCATTAGGTAATCAGTTCTCATTTCCCTTGTCCTCAGCCCCTGGAAACCACCAGTCTGCTTTTTGTTTATCTCTGTGATATACCTATTCTGGATAATGTAATCTGTTACATAAATGGAATCATGTATGTAATCTTTTGTATTTGGCTTCTTTCACTTAGCGTAATGTTTCAAGACTCATGCATGTTGTATGTTTGGGTGTGGAGTGGTTTTGATTTGCATTTCCTTAATGACTAACGCTATTAAGAATCATTTGATGTGCTTATTGACTATATATTTCCTTGGAGAAATGTCTATTCAGATTTTTTGCCCCATTTTAAAATTGGATTGTCGTTGAGTTGTAAGACTTTCTTATATATTCTGGACACTAGATCCTTAACGGGTATATGATTTCTAAATATACTATCTCATTCTGTAGATTATCTTTTTTTTTTATCCTCACTCGAGGATACTTTTCCATTTTTTGTACAGATAGAGTGGGAGGGAGAGAGAGGAAGGGAGAGAGAGAGAGAAACATCGACGTGAAGGGACACATCGAGTGGCTGCCACCCGCACAACCAACCAGGGCCGGGGACAAACTGCAACCGAAGTACGTGCCCTTAGCGGGAACTGAACCCGAGTCTCTCCGGACCGCAGGCCGACGCTCTAACCACTGTGCCAAACTGGCCAGGGCTGTAGATTATCTTTGTACTCTCTTGTTATTGTCCTTTGATGCACAAAAGTTTTAAAGTTTAGTGAAGTTCAATTTCTCTATTTTTTTATTTTATTAGTTTTGCTTCTAGTGTCTTGTGATATATAAGAAATCCCTTTATTTACCCTGTATTTTCTTCTCCTCAGAGTTTTATAGTTTTGGCTTTTACAATTAGGTCTTTGATTTGTTTGGGGTTAATTTTTATATATGGTGTGAGGTACAGGTTTAATTTTATTATCTTGCATGTGACTATCCAGTTGTCTCAGTTACATTTCTCTAAAATTTTTATTGATATTGAGAGAGAGAGAGAGAGAGAAACATCAACTTGTTGTTCTGCTTATTTGTTGTTTTGTTGGTTGCTTCTTGTATGTGCCCTGACCAAAGATTGAACCTGAAACCTTGGTGTATTGGGACAAAGCCCTAACCAACTGAGCTACCTGGTCAGGACCAGCCAACACTGTTTATTGAAGACACTATTCTCCCATGGAATAGTCTTAGCATCCTTGTTCAAAATTAATTGACCTTAGATGTATGGGTTTATTTCTGGACTCTTCTTTTCCAATGATCTGTATGTTTGTCCTTATACCAATACCACACTGTTTTGATTTCTGTATCTTTATCATAACTTTTGAGTCTTCTCTCTTTTTTTTCTAGGTCAGTTTAAAAGGTTTATCCCTTTTTCTCTGTCAGTCTAAAGTTCTGTTGACCTTTTCAAAGAACTAACTTTGATTTTTATTGATTCTTTACTTTCTGTTTCATTTATCTCTGCTCTGATGTTTTATTGTTTCCTCCCTTCTAGCTTTGGTTTAGTTTACTTTTTTTTTTTTCTAGTTCCTTAAGGTTTAAATTAAGTCTGATTTTATATCGATTTCATGAATCTAATGATCAGCCAGAGGTGAAAGCTTATAGTTTCTGGGTTCTTACCTGAGTATGCATCCAGCCCAGAGCATGTGAATATCCTTCTAGATTCCCTCACTATATGTGGGAACTTTTCAAAGTCATTATTTCCTCATGTATCCCCCATTCGCAGCCTCTTCTCTTACCCTGTTTGTTATCTTTTGCTTCAAGCTGCTGCAGCTAGTATATTTGTCTAAATTAGCAGTTATCAACCTGTGGGTCGCGACCCCTTCGGGGGTCGAATGACCCTTTCACAGGGGTCACCTAAGACCATCGGAAAACACGTATTACCAATGGTCTTAGGAACCATCTGCTCCTCTATCCGTCTCCAGGCAGTCCGCCCATATGCAGATAAGCCCACATACAACATGAGGAACTGTTAAAGGGTCACGGCATTAGGAAAGTTGAGAATCACTGGTCTAAATGCTTTTGAAAAATGGTCAGACTCCAGCCTTGACAAAATTCTAAGGTAGGCAAAACAAGGGCAAGCATCTTAAGCCCATCCCTCAGGTAGCCACCACACAGTCGAAACAGTCATATTTCTTTGAGAATAAAGTCCATATTACCTCCTGTTGGACAATCCACACAGGAACATGGGCCATTGTACCTAAGGCCATTGCCTAGCTGGAGATTGGGAAGTAGTAAGTGGTGGGTAAGTTAAAATGCTGTAAAGCTCCCATCAGAATATAGCAACTTGTTTCTTTATTAAGCATTCTCCTAAATGTAAGTTTTAAAATTAGATTTCATAGTTTCAGAAAAATTGATTCTGACAGGTTTTGGCAGCTAATCCTTGCTTCAGTGGAGTTTTGAAGACTCCTGATCTGTTGTTTTCAGTGATATTACCCTGCAACTTGCCATTTTAACTATACACTGGAATTCATCATTGAAGATTAATGAATAAAATAGAAAGCGACATTATTGTTTTAGAAGTAAGTGTTGGAAATTTTAAGTTATAGATAACTATAATGTGATTTGCTCACGCAGAAAGAATTGAACACATCATTGAGAAAAGCACTAATTCCAAAGGTTTGGGTTTTTTTTGAAAATTTAAAAAATATTTTTATATGTATTTACTTTTTCACTGTTAGCTTGTGTTTTCTGTCGAAAAGATGATGATTGTCCTAATAAATATGGAGAAATGAAAACTCATGAGAAATGGAATATCACTGTACATTACTATTGTTTGGTGAGTATAATTTATTATTAAATCTTAGAAATTTTATATTCTTCTAAAGAAGAGAATTAGCTCCTAATGACTGGTTTCGAATAATTGGATAAGTCATTTAACTTCTCTGGATCTTATTTTGCCTATATGTAAATATAAGATTTTAATTTATCAAATTCTAAGATTTTGGAATTATTTGGCATATATATAGAGACCTGTCATCATTACCTATTTATTTTTGTCTAACCTTTTAGGGCCTAATTGAAAAAATGGTCCAGTCTCTAAGGGAGCTGTTCTTTTTACCACTTTATTTTTTTTGTTAGGGATAAATCTAAAAAGAGTTGTTCATAGGTTGAGGGAATAGAAGAAAAAACATTTTATTTCATAGAATATCTGGAAAGGAAAGTTCTAACTAAGGTAATAAATATTTTTAGAAAAGGAAATAGGTTAATTTATGGTGGGTCACTCAGAAGAAAAAAAATTTCATACTGAAAATTAATCTCTCATTTGTTCCGCCTTCCCTCCACCGATTTCTTGCCTCACAGAATCTGTGTCTTAAGTTCTTATTTTCTGGGTACCTTCATAGGGCTATTCACAGCATGGAATCTGGCTTCTCCCAGAGCAAATGATGAAAAAGAAAGAAGAGGGATAGATAGATACACCAAGATGGGATCATATGACCTAGTTGTCACAGTCACCGACCACTGTCACTTTTACTTTATGCTATTTATTAGAAGCAAGTCATTAAGTCTAGCTCACCCCCAAGGGGTAGGGAATTAGGACCCACCTCTTAAAGAAGGGAGTATCAATCAACCAATTTGAGGACGTATTTTTATACCCACCACAGTATCCATGTTAAAACTCTTTAGATGCTTTCTTTAGAAAACATCTAATATATTCCTTGGTGGTTCTCTAAGACTGCCGTTTCGTGTCTCAGTTACCCTATTGGTTAGACTTGTACACTGGTCTAAAAACCTTGTTCCTTTGTAACAACACTTAAGGAAACATAAAATTGGCATTCCAAGTTTGTTTGTAAGTTGGGGATTTATTATATTTTGCATCACGCAAGAAAACTTATTTTTCTTGGAGTTTATTTTACTTTTTATGTAGAATTAAGAGAGCTATTTATTCGTTATTGGTTTTTTATATATAACTAATTCTTAAGTAATGGATATCACTTGGTTTTCTTTAGGATATATTATACTGATTAATCACAAATTTGAAGTAGTTTTTATTTATTTAATAAATTTAAGTTAATCATATTAAAATTTGTTTATATTTTCTTATTTTATTAATGAGTATAATCATTCGAAAGTGTACTGACCTTAGGCTCAACACTTAGAAAATTCTATTTGATTGTGAACAGGAAGATACAGTAATGTTACAAATGGCAATGGAATTTTAGAGCTAAAAGCAACTTAGACATAATCTAGTCCAGTGTTTTTATTTTTGTGTATTTTGTGTTTAAGGTCAGAGACATTAAATTACTTTCCTAGGAGTCCAGAAAGTTAGACACAGAGCGTGGTTTGTAAGCCAGGACTGTTTATTCACAGTCCTGTGCTTTTTCTTGATTCATGCTCCTTTAGCATATTTAAACTGAAGTTAAAAATCAGATTTTAAAAAATGTAAACATTTATGCTAATTACAATTCAATAGGTTTCCCTGTAAATATGCCATTTATTTATTTATTTATTATTTATTTGTTTATTTTAATTCTCACTTGAGGACATTTTTTCGTTTTTTGTTCAGATAGAGTGGGAGGGAGGGAGGAAGGGAGAGAGAGAGAGAGAGAGAAACATCAATGTGAAAGGGACACATCGAGTGGTCGCCACCCACATGACCCGAGAGAGAGAGAGAGAGAGAGAGAGAGAGAGAGAGAGAGAGAGAGAGAGAGAGAGAAAGAGAGAGAGAAAGAGAGAGAAACATCGATGTGAAAGGGACACATCAAGTGGTTGCCACCCACATGACCCAACCAGGGCCGGGGACAAACTGCAGCCAAGGTACATGCCCTTAGCGGAAACCGAACCCAAGTCTCTCTGGACTGCAGGCCAACGCTCTAACCGCTGTGCCAAACTGGCCAGGGCAAATATGCCTTTTATGATTCAGAATCCAGCTAGATTTACAGTTAGCCTAAAATATCACTAATAATCTGTATTATCTCCATAGGACTTACTGTTATTACATTTATACCTTTCATTGTTTACCACTTTATTTCCCTAAAGCTTAATTATAAATACTTTTTTTTCTTCCTTCCTTTGTCTGTTACTTCCTGAAATACCTTAGAAACCAGTTTGGTTATATGAATTATTAATATACAGTATCTTTCAAATTAAAGAATGTTTGAATAGCCTCTTACTTTGATAATGAAAAATAACTACTATAGGTAAACGGTGCTTGAAATTCTAGTTGTTTTATGTCTCTTTTTCATTTGAATACTACAGATATATATACTTTTTATTCCAAACTAGTTTTTTAGAATTTATTTTGTAATTGAGAATATATTTATAGTTGATGTCAAGTGGAATTTGGCAGAGAGGTAAAGAAGAAGAAGGAGTTTATGGTTTTCTAATAGAAGACATAAGGAAAGAAGTGAATAGAGCTTCTAAACTGGTAAGTATATTGTTTACTTATTACACTAAATAGCATAAGGCTTTGATGTTATGTTGTTCCAGTGCTTACTTTTGTCAAATATGGTGAATTTTAGAACATTTGTATTTTTGCAAATGAAAGGGAGCTTAACCACCCCTAGATAATATTTGTGACAATATTGATTTCACTTTCTTACCTTATTCCAATCGACCCATCATTTCACCTATACTTACCATCAGAATTATGAACATACTTCTCTGCTATTCTTCAAACTTCCATCCTGAGTCAATCCAGCTGTTCACTTTTTATTCTTATACCTCAGTTGCTAGGTTGAAATGATGGGTTGAGGTAAAAATTACACAACTGTGCAGACCAATAATTTATGATCTCTACACGTCTTGTGGCCCTTCTGTGACATTGTGTGCTTGTGTTCAGTATCTTCTCCTGTTCTACAAGATGAGTATTCTAAACTTTAATTCCTCATTCATTTCGTTAAAATATGTTAATTTTCTGTGTGATAGCTACTAGGTGATGTGCAAAGAAACGACGGTAGGTCTCCATGTGATCTAAGTAGAAATGATGAAAGTGAGAGAATGAGAAGGTTAAATATGAAGATGGAGTAGTGGCTGCAACTTGCAACAAATCATTAATGTTCTGTTTGTCCCTCTTCCTGTCCCTGTCCTTATCTCACTTTCACCCCTTGGCAAGTTGAAATTAAGGAGGATTGTGAAACAAGCAGATTCATTCCAGGCATTCTGTATGGGAAGCATGTAGAGAGACCTTTAAATTCGCCAAGGCAAAGAAAAGGGAGACAATTATAGGTCACTATTGAACCTACTATGGGTATCTAACACTTTTTTATTTGGTTAGAATAGAGTGATCCTAGCCAAATTTTTTTTTTTACAGATTGGCTTTTAGTATTGTTTTACTGTTCTCCTTGGTGAATATTTTCTAATTATGTGTTTTCTGTTGAGATTTGAATGAGACTTTCATGTATAGCCGTTATGTTTATAAACCCTTCTGTTCTTTTAACAAGTGGGAAGGAAAGGAAACTTCTCTTTCTCAGTCTCCTGTTAGGTTACAGATGTTTCCTATATCAGAAATTATTATAGGAGTGAATCTTTAGTGACTTTAGGTTGTTTCTTGGTAGTTTTTTTCAGGAAATTTCCTTAATATACCATCACACAGTTGTTTGTTGTATGATAAAAATAGTTTTCAGACTCCCCAAAAAGAATATTTATTTATACTTTGGTCATATTATAGTACTCACATTCTCTGTTATGGCCCCTATTTTTTTTTTTTTTTTTCGTAGAAATGCTGTGTTTGTAAGAAAACTGGTGCTTCAATTGGATGTGTTGCACCTCGATGTAAACGAAGTTATCATTTCCCATGTGGACTTCAGAGAGAATGTCTTTTCCAATTCACTGGCAATTTTGCGTGAGTTAACTGTTGAATATGAAAGATGATGATGGTTCAAGAAAAGTCGTTAATGGATATGAAAATTCCAGTGATATAATTTCTTTGTTAAATTTTTTTAAAGCTGCACTGGGTTTATATATTTTATAAAAATATATATGTAGTCATTTCTGTCTGCAAAGTCTTGAGAATTGCCATGTCTGAAATGGGCTTATTTACCTTCAGCTTTCATTTCTAGAATATAATATGGAACTGTTGGTTTCTGTGTTTTTTGTTTTTTTTTTTTCTTTATTGATTTGAGAGAGAGAGAGAGAGAGAGAGAAAGGGAGAGGGAGAGTTAGAAACATGGATGAGCCCTGGCCGGTTTGGCTCAGCGGTTAGAGCGTCGACCTGCGGTCCTGAGAGACCCGGGTTCGGTTCCCGCTAAGGGCGCGTACCTCGGTTGCAGTTTGTCCCCGGCCCTGGTCGGTCGTGCGGGTGGCAGCCACTCGATGTGTCCCTTTCACATCGATGTTTCTCTCGCTCTCTCTGTTCCTCTCTCTTTCTCCCACTCTACCTGAACAAAAAAAAATGGGAAAATGTCCTTGGGTGAGGATAAAAAAAAAAAGAGAAACATGGATGAGAGAGAGCATTGATTGGCCGCCTCCTTTATACCCCCCACTGGGGATCGGGACCACAACCTGGGCATGTGCCTTGACTGGGAATCGAACCGGTGACCTCTTGGTGCATGGGTTGATGCTCGACCACTGAGCCACACCAGCTGGGCTAATAATGGAACTGTTAATGTGTATTCATAATCAGTGAAAACTTTTATCTTACATAATTCCAGATTTTTATATCATTCTTTAGATTTAATAGTCCAGCTCCCCCCCTCCCACAGAACCATATTTATTTCTCATTGAGCAAATTGAAGGCATATAAATTTGGAGTCCAGAAAATTAATATTGTGCCTGAGGATGCCCCCGGAAGTATTGCTTCTTGAATCCAGCTTTAAACATCAAAATTTTGATATTTGGTATCATTAGTGTTCTATTTCTTTTAGTCTTTGTGTTCCTGACCAATTAAATGGATTTTTTTACTATGTACAAAAAACTGCAGTTTAGATAGTATAAATGGACATATGTTTAGTGGGTTAGGAATAAGTTATTATTTTCATTTATTTGTTATATGAGTAAATATTTAAATGCTAGGCTCCTTTAATTTTGTACAGTGTTGAAGACAGTGGTGTGTATATTCTGTTGCTAACACAATTATATAGGGTTCTCAGCATAATATTAGTTGGTAAGGCTTACCACCAAAAGGTTCACATTTTAAAAGTTCAATTAACCATGGTCATAGATTGTGAAACTGATTTACAGTCATCCCTTGCCACTTTGTGCTTCGACTTTAGCGGCTTCACTCTATCGTGGTGTTTTCAAATGTATTCATTAAAAAGTTGATCGAGACCGTGAAAATGATACAGTGCACGCTTGGTTGTCTGAATCAATTATACATCCCTGTATTACAATTAAAATTAAAATTACGTATGGACTGTAGGCCTATGTATTTGAGCACCCCAGGAATCCTTCAACACCAGGTGCAACCGCTAGAGTCTGGAACAGATTAACTGTGATAAACAAGGGACGACTGTATAGTGCCAAAGTTCCAGTCTGTTGTACATTAGTTATGAGAGAGATATGAAGTTTCTCTTATAGGTGTAATGCTATCCTAGTTGTGCTTTGTAGTTTATTAGATGTTAGTTTTAAATAATTTATATTTTTAGGTCATTTTGTTGGACCCATCGACCTGTTCAAATAATTACACCTAATAATTACAGAGAGTCTTTACCATGCACCATTTGCTTGGAATTTATTGAGCCTATTCCAACTTACACCATATTACGAAGTCCTTGTTGTAAGAATGCTTGGTTTCATAGAGACTGTTTACAGGTAAGATGTTTTGTAAGCTTTTTCTAATATAAAATTTGTTGCTTGCTGATTTGAATTTAAAATTGGAAAGAATTATCTGGCCAGTGTGGCTCAGTGGCTGAGTGTCAACCCATACACCAAGAAGTCGCAGGTTGGATTCCTGGTCAGGACATATCCTGTTTTCTAAGATCTTGGTGTCTGTTAGCAGTTGCTTGGCAGATCCTTTAGACTCAAAGATTTCAGTAACTTGTCACTTTCCTACCTCATGGTGTGTGTGTATGTGTGTGCTGCTTACTAGTTGTTTGAAGCTGGGTTCCTCTTTGTTCAGGTCTTTCTTCACTATTTTGTTGGATAAATATTAGAAATTCTGCTAATTCTTAATCTACAAGTCATTGCCCAAGTCTGTCAGGTCTGTCTAATAGATATTTTTGTATATTTTTTGTTGTTGTTACTGTTCTCTGCCTTCTATGTGATTTAACTTTAGCCACTTTTTTAAAACTATACTTACACAGGCACCTACTAGCTGGTCTTTCTCCTGCATGCCTTATTTCCTTACACTATTGGCTTTGATTTACCTGTTTAGCCTCTTTACTTAGTTCAGTATGGCCAGCATGTAATCCCTAAGTATATTATTAATTAGTTTTCTAATCTCACATGTTTGCTATTACCACTGAGATGTGATATATACTATTTTGTAGGTTTGTAATATCTTTTGTCCCCTTTTCCTGGCAGACCCCTTCCAAAATTAATTTTGACCTAACCATCTTTGTGATATTTTTTCAGGCTCTTATATAGACTGAGGTACTTCTTCCTCTCTCTTATGTGTATATACTTAAAAATAAACTTTCGCACTGTATTATAATTGTATACTTGTATGCCTACTTATCTTGAAGTAAAATCCAAGTCATTTTATATTTCTGTTTTTGATGCATATCATAGTGTTTGGCACCTATATAGTAGGGGTTAAATATTTGTCAATGAATGTGTGCTGCTAGTTTCTTGCTGGGGATTGGCTACTCTTTCTAATAGGTTTATATTTTTATGTTTCATTCTACATATCCTCTGCCTGCTGCTTCCTTATTTGTAGTTGCTGAAGAATGAAAATAGGTTTTATATTTCTCCCCTCTTAGTAAGAATAGTAACAGAATGAGTTAAAAATAGAACCAAGGATACTTTTTATGTAACATTTATTTAAACATCTTTCCTAGATGAAGTAACTCAAGATTTTTACTATTTTACTTACAGAAATGGGCAACACAGTATTTGGGAACAGAAATGATATTAGACACCAAAGGTTGAGAAGAATATATGGGTGAATATATAATAAAGCTAAGAACTGTCAATTCATTAGCTTAATTATTTTGACCACTGGGAGAAAAGATCTCCAAATTTTAGCAGTGGGATAACTTAGTTTATCAAACTTTGAGAACCATTAGTGTACAAAATAAGATATATAATAAGTGAAAAATAACACATGTTCTGTTAGCTATAAAGATCATAACTTAATAACTTGTTAAATTGTTAATAGATTTTTTATTTTTCACTATAGGTTCAAGCAATAAACGCAGGAGTGTTTTTCTTTAGGTGCACAGTATGCAATAATAGTGACATATTTCAGAAAGAGATGTTGAGAATGGGAATTCATATTCCTGAAAAGTGAGTAACATATAGCCTTTTGAAAAAAGATATTTTACAAGTAGGATTTAATAACAGTGGAAATACTCATTTATGTCTGATTATGTGATGATGGACAACCATCCATTTCAAATGGGGAAATGTAAAGCCACCCCTGTTGCCGCCTCCTCCCCAGATTGCTAGTTCTTGAGAGCAGGAACTGTGACTTAATGTCTCATTGATTTATTTACAGTTCTTAATAAAACACCTCAATTGGATACAGTATTAATTGATTTATACACAAGTATAGTAGGCTTCAAAATGTTATGTATAAATTAAGAGAATCAAGATGTGATTTAAAATGTATATAAGTAGAATTTTGTTACTACTTAAAGATGAGGAATCCAGAAATAATGCTACTAAACTTGAAATAAATGCAAGTAAATGTTAAAAATGAAGGTTTTAGAAAATTTTTTAATTTTTCATTTAGCATTTGAAAATTTACTGTGAGACTAAACGTAAGATAAAATGGATTTACATCTTGAAGAGAAGGATTGATTCTTAAAAAAAGTTTTAGCCTTGTTCCTAAGTACAGTTACATGAAAAGTTTTTATTTTTAGGTTCATTACTAATCCTTTTATGTAACATTTAAGGTCAAAGTATATTTTGTGTCTTGGTTCATTTTCAGAGACGCATCTTGGGAATTAGAGGAAAATGCTTATCAAGAGCTTCTGCAGCACTATGAGCATTGTGATGTACGAAGATGTCGTTGCAAGGAAGGGCGAGACTATAATGTGCCTAATAGGTATGTTGGGAAGTTCACTTGTGCTTAATTAGTGTTCTTAGTGAAACCTTCAGCTCAGAAAGCAGAGTTATAGTTAGTGAAATGTGTTTGCTCTTAGGATGTTGAAGTTTTATATACATCTGTTTACAGAAAAATTATTGCACTCAGCATGATTGCAACTTATTTTCTTGGTGCATTTTCATGAGGCTCTATTTTCTAGTGCTGTACTGGTCCTTCATGGTAGCACCTGTGGCAACTGACCACTTGAAATGTGGCTATTCCCAATTGAGAGGTATTGTAACTGTAAAATACACACTGAAGACTTAGTTTGTGTCTTAGTTTGCTAGGGCTACCATAACAAAATACCACAAACTGGGTGGCTTAAACTGTAGAAATTTGTTTTCTCACAATCCTAAAGGCTAGAGGTCCAAGATAAAGGTATCCACAGATTTGATTTCTTCCGAAACTTCTCCTTGGCTTGCTTGTGACTCCCTTCTAGCTATATCTTCACATAATTGTCCCTCTGTCTATGTCCAGTCATACTGGATTACGGTCCACCCATATGACCTCATTTTATTTTAATTATCTCTTTAAAGGCCCTCTTTCCAAACACAGTCACACTTTGAGTTGCTGGGTGTTAGGATTCCAACTTACAAATTTTGGGGAGACATAATTTAGCCTATAACATTTAAGAAAAAAGAACTAAAAATATCTTAATAATTTTATATTGATTACATGTTGAACATAATGATAATATTTTGGAAATATTTAGATTCATTTCACCTGTTCCTTTCGCCTTTTAAATATGGTTACTAGTAAAGTTTAAGAGACATTTATGATTTGCATTGTATTTCTATTGGATGGCCCTGTTTAGAGGTTAACTAGATTAATCTAGCAGTATTTCTTTTGGATACTATGAAAAGGGTTAGGCATTTGAAATTTATTGATTATTCCTTTGTAATGTCAGTAAGATATATATGTGTGTGTGTATATATATATATATATATATATCCTTTTATTTCCCTGAACAAATTCTTTTCTTTAATTTTTTAATTTTTATTAATTTATTTTTTTTACAAATGTTTCTCCTTTTCCCCCCATTGACCCCACTCCTCTCGATTCCTCCCCTGCCCCCAGCATTGTTGTCCATGTCCGTGGTTATGAATACCTGCATATAAGTTCTGTGTTTTATCTCTTCCCTCCCCAATCCCCCTTCTGAGGTTTGTCAGTCTGTACCCTACTACTGTGTCTCTGAGTCTATTTTGTTCATCAGTAGTTTTGTTCATTATATACCACAAATAAGGGAGATCATGTGATATTTGTCTTTCTCTGATTGGCTTGTTTTGCATAGGATAATACTCTCCAGGTCCCTCCATGCCATCTCAAAGGATAAGAGATCTTTCTTATAGCTGCATAGTACTCCATTGTATATATGTACCACAGCTTTTTTATCCACTCATCTATTGATGGACACTTGGGATGTTTCAGATCTTAGTGATTGTAAATAGTGCTGCTATGAACATAGGGGTACATAATATTCTTTCTGATTGGTGTTTCAGGCTTCTTAGGGTATATTCCTAGAAATGGGATCACTGGGTCAAATGGCAGTTCAATTATCAATTTTTTGAGGTAACACCATATTGTTTTCCATAGCAGCTGCACCAGTCTTCATTCCCACCAGCAGTGTACTAGAGTCCCCTTTTCTCCACACCCTCACTAGCACTTGTTGTTTGATGATTTGTTAATGGCAGCCACTCTGACAGGTGTGAGGTGATACCTCATTGTTGTTTTAATTTGCATCTCTCTGACGATGAGTGACATTGACCATTTTTTTCATATGTCTCTTCGCCATTTGTATGTTCTGTTTGGAGAGGTATCTATCTAGGTCCTCTACCCATTTTTTAATTGGGGTCTTTGTCTTCCTTTTCTTGAGTTGTATGAGTAACCTATTCAGTAAGATATCTTTAAGATGTAGAATAAAAAGTAACAAAGTCAGTTTTGTCAAAAATGTGTGTAGGAAATTTCATTAAATATTTATCTCTGTCATACTGTGGTATTTGAATAAGGCAAGGTGAAACTTAAAGTTCAGAGCAGAGTATTGGGAGGCTTGTTCCTTCTAAGTGATTTGGCTGGATGAGCTGCTGCTTACTTGCAAAGACTCAACTGAGGTCTTGCAGCTTTTGAAAGTTTCTCCTAGGCAGCTGTTACCACTCCTGATTTCCCATTCTGGGTTTTCACTTCACTATGCTTGTTACAATATAATTGACATTATTTGAGTTTGTCTTTGTCATTAGGTTAAAAATTCTCTAAGGGCAGAGATCTCATTGAAAATGTCAAGCAGTATGCATTTACATTTCTTAATATGGTGACTGCATATTCAATGATTATACCCCTCTCAAGGGCTGTGCTGAGGCATAGGTGAGATAGTGTAAACAGTAAAGCACTTTAGAGTTCTAAGAAGCAATTTATTCATTAAAATTGATAGTATCAAAATTCATTTTAGGTTGGGTTTTATTTTTGTTGTTGTTTTGGTATATTACTGGCCCAGACTTTGTTTTTTTCTAGCAGCAACTTAAGATTGCTGTCCCTTGCCTTTTCTCCTGGGATGTGGATACCTACTGTCTAAATGCTTTTTTTGTAATATCACTCCCTCTCATCCTACTGACAGGAAGGCAGTTTTGCTGAAAGGCAGCATGATGTAAAGGTTAGCAGCATAGGTCTGACAGGTAAAGTGAGTTGGAAGCCTAACTCTGAGACTTACTAGAAGAATATACTTAATTGGGCCAGTTCTTTACCCCTCAGGCCTTGGTTTCTTCTTTTTTTGAAATTGAGGTAGTATTGGTTTTCCCTCCCTTCTAAAATAGTGAAGATTGAAATTTTCATGTAAAGAGTGAGAACTGGACCTGATTTATAATAAGCACCCATATTAGCTCTCATATTTTTTTCTCTTCATCATAGTTGGCAGAACTATCTGGGGAAGAGGGGGCTGCTACACACGGAACACACACCTACATACCCATATCCACACAAAGGGAGTTTTGCCCACACCTACCAGAGGGGATGGTATCTTATCATCTACACCTCTATACTCTCTGGAAGTGTATCCATTTTTATACAGAGAGAGTGTACTCATAACCAAACAGAGAGGAAGTCCCACACGACAACACACACCCACACCCATACAGAAAATGTAAATATGGACCAGCACACATCACACAACACGAGTTTGGGGGGAGGGTCAGATAAGAGTGGGTATACATATGGGCCAGGTTGTGAGTCTGGGTCCTGTTGAGCTGCATGATACCTGAGACGTCTGAACAAGCTTTTTGTACGAAATAATTTCTCACCTTAGATGGGAAAGATAATAGATTAGGTGAGGTAATATATTTACCAAATATCTCTTCCATATCAGATATACTGGCATAGCAATCTCCCTATGAGTAATAGTTATCTCCAAATATAAAAGAAAAAAATCTTCTTTCTTTTCATATTCTTTCTAATGTTTATATTCTTTGTGTATGTGTATGTTCATGTACCTGTTGATATTTTTAAGTTAGAAAATATTTAGAGGAGATTATAAACATAAACAATGAAATAGAAAAAAACAATGCTTTAAGAAAAAGTAATGCAGTATCAAAGCAGATCATCTCTTTTTCCTCCTTTGGGTTGGTTTCGTGTATGAGGTGGACAGTGAGGCCTGTGGCAGTGTGGGTGGTTGGAATTTGACTAAGGTAATACCAAAATGTCAACATTTACTTTTTGTCTCCTCAGCAAATGGGAAATAAAGCGTTGTCAGTGTTGTGGTTCTAGTGGAACACATCTAGCCTGTTCCTTATTACAATCATGGGAACAAAATTGGGAGTGTTTGGAATGCAGAGGTATTATCTACAACTCAGGTAATATTTTATAATTTTGAATAAAGATGGTCTTATTCAAATGTATATTATTTAAAAGTTCCTTTCTATATTTCTACTATGCTTACATTGGGTTTTAAATCTGCAGGGGGTTTCCAAAAAGCCAAAAAACATACATTACCCAACACTAACATTGTTGGAATAAATGATTGCTTGTTGGAAGAATCATCACCTAAATTACCCAGACAGTCACCTGGAGCCCAGCATAAAGATCTGCTGAGGTGTGTATTTTGAACTGGAGAAAAATAAAACTCTATTCTGAGAAAATTAAACAGGAAGTGGCTATATACACTTAGAATATTAGCTTATCTTTACAGTAGTTGGAAGAATGTTTTTTAGAAAATAGGACCCAACATTTGATCATGAAATCATGCAACCAGCATTTAAAAAAGAAATTGCACCTTGGCTGGTTTGGTTCAGCTGTTAGAGCATTCCCCTCGGACCAGAGAGTCATGGGTTCAATTCCTGGTCAAGGGCACGTACCTGTTTTGCAGGTTCAATCCCCAGCCCCTGGTCGGGGTCATGTAGGAGGCAATCAATCAATGTGTCTCTTTTACATCATTGTTTCTCCTTCCCTCTTTCTCTCTCTCTCCCTCCTTCCCTCCATCCATTCCTCTCTTCCACTCTATCTAAAAACCAGTGGAAAAATATTCTCCAGGTGAGGATTAACAAACAGTGAAAATGAAATAGGAGAGACTAGACTATAAAGAATCATGTTGCATTGGAAATAGAAAGAATGTATATAAAATATATAATTTAATATTGTATACTGAGTCATGATATAAAATGTGTTTATTATAGACCTTTTTCAAGATAGTTTAAAAACATGGATCTGGAAAATGTGCTTAAACTGTTATTTGGTTATAGAGTAAGACAGGCCATTATAATAACACAGATAACATGCTACTTTGTTAAAAAGAAGGAATTATTTAACCTTGGCCAGTTTGGCTCAGTGGTAGAGCATCGGCCCGCAGACCAATGAGTCCTGGGTTCGATTCCAGCCAAGGGCATGTACCTAGGTTGTGGTTCATCCCTGGCCCTGATTGGGGTCGTGAGGGAGGCAACCAGTCGATGTGTCTCTCTCACATCAATGTTTCGCTCTCTCTCCCTTTCTCTCCCTCTCTATCTTCCTGAAGATAAATGGAAAAATATCCTCAGGTGAGGATAAAAAAAGAAGGAATCATTTGATACAGAGGGTTAATTATTTTATTTTGTTTAATGTATTTACTGTCAATGTCAGATCTAAAGAAGTTTAAGGCATACTTAGAGATATTATTATAGTAATATCTAATGGTTTTTAATAAGACAGCAAAATGAATAACTTTCAAAATCATTCTTAACCATTTAAGACTAGAATTACACTTTTATACTGTGCCAGATATTCATTCAACTGAAGATAGAATTTTTAAGTATATGTGGCTTTATAAAAAGTTTGTAGAGCCTTGTTGTAGCCAATAATGATAATAGACAAAAGTAACATTACTAGCTAAACATGAGGAAGTACTTTCTCGTTAAAAATAATATCAAGCCCAGCTGGTGTGGCTCAGTGGTTGAATGTTGACCCATGCACCAAGAGGTCACCAGTTAGATTCCTAGTCAGGGCACATGCCCAGGTTGTGGGCCCAATCCCCAGCGGTGGGCATGCAGGAGACGACCAATCAATGTCTTCTCTCATCAATGTTTCTATCTCTCTCTCCCTCTCCCTTACTCTCTCTAAAAATTAATAAAGTTAAAAATATTAAAATAAGTAAATAATTATAAGTTAAAATTTAGAAGAACAAGAGAATTTTTGTGAAAATATTTCATAACTAGATTTGCAGATAGAAATGGAATACTATTTAAAAAGTGAAGCATTGCTGTTTTAAGATACCATGGTATTAACTGAAAATTTGTTATTATCAAAAAAGATGTTCACATTTGTTTTAAATAAATTTAAATGTTTAGGTTTCTAAAGATGTTATACTAGGGAAGTTTGATTCCTTATTCCTGCTCTAATATGCCATTGTGTTCTAGAAGTGTAGCATTAGTATTCCCGTTCCAGACAGGAGCAAGGAATTAACTTGCTACAACAAGGTATATTTCTCAAGGATTATCTTCCAAAAGATTCTGGTTTTGCTCATTCTGGGTTAATAAATAGGGTAGGGGGTTGTGTGAAAAGGAAAAATAACAAAACCTGGCCCATATCAGGACATTATAATGTCTTAGAATGGGGAAAATGTATACTTGATATAGAAAGATGATATATGACATAGCCTCAAACAGGATCATTTTGAGTACATCAATTCCAATTACAGAAGGAGAAACTGAGGCAGGGAGCAATTGAGTTAATCTATACAGTAGCCTGGAGGTCTTGTTAAGGCAGATTGCTGGGCCTCATGTTGAGAGATTCTTATTCCGTGTATCTGCTGGAGGGCTTCAGAATTTGCATTCTAGTAAGTTTCCAGATGCTGCTGCTGATGGTCGGGGACCACACTTTGAGAATTACTGGTACAGACTGAAAAGTACTACTTAAATGGTTGTGAATTCTGTTTATAATATTAGTTCTACCAATTAATTACTTTTTTATGATTAAAATGCATTGCATTGTAATTTCTTAAAATTATAGATCTCTCGTATAGTAAGCAGAGACTATGTTTGCTCTATTTTTAAAGGATCTAGTAAACATGAAATAAGATACAGTTAAGTAAGTGTTGTAGCTATTGGCCAGAAAGGTGAGAGTTTGAGCTTCTGAGTCTTATACCTAAATCTGCTGAATTGATCAAATTTACGATAATCATCTATCAACATTCTCATAAATCATTTATGACATTAGATTATTTTAATTTGGTAGAAGATTAGGGAGAGAGAATCAAGAATTTTGAACTGAGGTTTGGGGTCCAGTGACAGCAATTGTCTGCTTTTTGGATGGGAGGTGGGAAGAACTTACTTTAAATTTTTTGTTTGTTTGTTTGTTTGTTTTTTACTGTATACTGCCATGTCCCATAATGTATTTTAGAGTCCTTACCTCTGTGTTTAAATTCATGTTTTATAGGCAAGGCAACAAATTTAGAAGAGACATTTCAACAATAATTATAGAGCTAGGATTTCAAATTATTAAGAAAACTAAAAGATTATATATCAACAAAGCTGATATCTGGAATAGTGCCTTAAATGGATTCAGAAATCAAAAGTTTAATCCTTCATACACAATTGAAGTTGTATATATTCATGAAAATGATAATTTTGGAATAGAGCATCCTGGATCAAAGCAAGAATTCCTAACTCTTTTAATGCAACATCTTGAGAACTCACCATTATTTGAAGGGTCCTTGTCAAAGAACTTGACCCTAAATTCTCAAGGTAATTATTTATTATTGTTCATACCGCGTATACCATGTGTAAAGGAAGAGATAGATGATTAGAATTGATACTCAATACATGTAGTTGAAATGTATACTGATAAAAATCACAGAAAAAAAGAAGTGGGGGAGTGATAGTTTTAAAAGCAAAATTTTTAGTGAAACATTTTAAGAATGTTCATAATTTCTTTATAGCAATATTCTACTCAAAGTGATTCCATAATTAACTAAGTTCTTAAAAATGTATTTTTATTCTAATTTTGTTTGAATAGAGTGGCCAAATGGGATGGATGGTTATCTGAGTCCTTGTTCAGATATTTGGAATTTGCGGTTGGCATGTTTCCTCACAACCTAGGATTGTTATAACATAATTTTCTAGTCCACATGTAATAGATTTTTTTTTTATCCTCACCCGAGGATATTTTTCCATTTTTGTACAGATAGAGTGGGAGGGAGAGAGAGGAAGGGAGAGAGAGAGAGAGAGAAACGTCGACGTGAAGGGACACATCGAGTGGCTGCCACCCGCACGACCAACCAGGGCCGGGGACAAACTGCAACCGAAGTACGTGCCCTTAGTGGGAACCGAACCCGGGTCTCTCCGGACCGCAGGCCGACGCTCTAACCGCTGAGCAAAACTGGCCAGGGCGTAATAGGTTTTTTTAAATGTACTTTTGCTTTCAAGAATTTTTTTCTATGCAGCTATGTATATGAAACTTTTTTTGTCTTTTTTCTGGTGATGAGTTAATATGATTAAAACAGGCATCTCAAAACACTGGTTAATTCAAGCATTCTTTTTTAGGAGCTTTTATACCACTTTTGCTGTAATAGGAAATTCAAAACAGTGAGAAGAAGACTTATTTCATTCAGTTTTAATTTCTTCCTGTGTTCCCTAGAACTTCCTGTTACCTGAAGCATTATTGAAATAATTGACAAAGTTCCAAGGATCATTTGTACTATCTACAGGACACATAGTCTAATTCTAAACTCCCTTTAAAAAACATCCAAATAATCAATAATGTTAACTGAAGGTAGTTTTGGTACAGTAGAGAGTATATGAATTTAAGTCCCAAAATCTGAATTCATTTGTACACATCACTTAAGTGGTTTTATATTCTTAGATTAATTATGTAGCCTCTCTGGATCTCAGTTTCTTCATCTGTAAAATGTGACTGCTGATACATAGCTTATAAAGTTATTGTTGAGGAGATATTATTATTTCAAGTATTGTTAATGTTGATTACTGATAAGTTGCTTTGAACAATTTTTAGAAAAAAATAAAGGAAATTTTACATGATGTCCTTTTGACTTAATCAAAGTAGCTAAAACATTTTAAATGGAAATATAAAAAATATTGAAAACGTTATATGGTAAGATTAAATTTGTGTCATTTTGGAACATGATTTAGCACTGTATATCAACAGCCTTAAAAATGTTCATATACTTTGAACCACTAATACTATATCTATCCTAATATATGTTAATCAAATAATCAAAGATATATAAATAACAATATGTAAATAGATACTGATTATATAATGTAACTTATCGATGGTACCAGTAATAAAGGGATGGTTTATATTGCTGCACATCTGAAAGTTAATCTTAATGCATTCCTTAACTGTAGTAGATTTCAATAATTTTGAATAATATAAAGAATGTACAGTGTAATAAGTTGATAAAAGAAGTCTGACTATGTATATATTTATATACACATGAGACACAAATATACTAAAGTGTGTACATTGGTTATTATGGTGCTAGGATCATAGATGGATTTTTAAAGAGTTTCTGTATATTTTTTCTGCAATAGGTTATTACTTTGTATTCAGAAAAATTTTTTTGTATATTTTAGGTGAAATCTATATTTTATACATTATAGTGTCTATGAATTTTTATTTTCCATTTATCTAATGCTTATACTTTTTATTTATTATATATGTATTCATTATATATGATGATTATAATTTTAAAAAGTATATTTGATGTATTTCTATCTATTTACAGCTGTGAAGGAGAATCTTTACTATGAAGCTGGCAAAATGCTTGCCATTTCTTTGGTTCATGGTGGTCCTTCACCTGGTTTCTTTTCTAAAACCTTGTTTAACTGCCTTGTTTATGGACCAGAAAATACCTTACCGGTTTTAGATGATGTTTCAGACTTTGATGTGGCACAGATTTTAATCAGGGTAAGAAATGTGCATGTTTATTAAAATGTAGGGCTACATTCTACCTGGATTTGAATATAAATGTTGGATCTCCAATAGAATAGTAATACTCTGTGGAGTAGTAGAGGGATGTCAATATTTCTATTTACCAGCAAAGTTCACAACCAATTAAAAGATCAATGTAAAGCTCAGACAGCTAGAGAACAAAGTGCTAGGTTTTATTTTGATAAAACAAATTGGATTATGTGACTTCAAAATGTGGTCAAAATGGCTTGCTAACATTTCTGAGAACTATGTGGATTTATCTGCCCTGCCAGAAACATTATAAGGCAGGTTCTTGTTGCATGTAGAGAGCAGAAGAAAGTATGCTTTCCTGCAGGCAGTGGATCTGAAGAGAGCAAGGGTTTAGGTTACCAATCAGAAAATTTCGACTTCCTCCTATAGGGAGATATGAGTGCTAGATTAAGAGAAAGACCTACTGAATTTTTTCAATATAAAAACAAGTGAGGAGACTCAATGTTCTCTCCAAACAGTAGTTAACATTTATTTAGCCTTGTACTGCACTTCTCACATGCACAAGCTTAATTTAGGTACCATATGGTATATAAGTATTATTGTTTACATGTTACTGATTTGGAAACTGATTGAGATAATGAAAGCTGCTTTTCTTCCCTTAGCCTCCCTCCTACTTAAGCCTACTCTTATCCAGCCATTGTCTCAGTTAATAAGCAGTATATTTTAATGGTTAAAAGCAAATGCTTACACATCAGATTTTAAATGGAAATAACTAGAAATTATAAGCTATGTGACTTGGGTAATGAAGTTAGGCTTAATTTTGTTAAGCCCAACTTTATTGTCTCACTTCCTTTTTCCTATGGATTACTTAACTTCTTAGAGAGAGGTTTCTGTTACCACCACCACTCTCCCAAGTTAGCTTGTTGATACCTGATAATCTGGGGAACTAGATCTTCGCATTCAACACCTTTCTTTTTTTTTTTTTTTTAATGTTTTTATTGATTTTTTAGAGAAAGAGAAAGAAGAGAGAGATACAAACATTGATTTCAGAAAGAAACACCAGTCGACTGCCTCCTGCACACCTTCCACTGGGGATCGAGCCTGCAACCCGGGCATGTGCCCTGAATGGCAATCCAACTGGGACCTCTCACTCAGTCCATGGGACAATGTTCAATCCACTGAGCCACACCTCCCAGGCAAAAATCCACATATAATTTTTGATTCCCCCAAAACTTAACTACAGTTGTCCCTTGGTATCCATGGGGGATTGGTTCTAGGATCTCCCCCCACCCCACCCTGCAGGATACCAAAATCTGCAAATGTTCAGATCTCTTATATAAAATGGTGCAGAATAGTGCGTGCAGTTAGTCCTCATTTGCTGGTGCAAAACCCATGGGTGCAGAGAGCTGATTGTATTGAAAACAATCGGCATATAAGGGGATGCACACAGTATAAGAAACCGTGTTATTCAAGGGAAAACTGTGCCATCGTGTAGTTAAATGTATTATAAAAATAAAACAGAATAGTTTTGGCCAGTGTGGCTCAGTGGATAGAGTGCCAGCTCTCGCACCGAAGGGTCACGGGTTTGATTCCTGGTCAAAGGCATGTACCTAGATTACAGATTCAGTCCCTGGCCTGGTTGGGGTGGGTTCAGGTGGCAGTTAATTGATATATCTCTTATCCGTGTTTCTCTCTCCCCGCCCCCTTCTCTTTCTCTCTCTCCTTCCCTCCCTCCCAGTCTCTAAAAATCAATGGAAAAAATATCCTCAGGTGAGGATTAACCAAAAAATATATAAATAAATAAATAAAATAAAAAACAATATGAGAGCCCTGGCCGGTTTGGCTCAGCGGTTAGAGCGTCAGCCTGCGGTCCTGAGAGACCCGGGTTCGGTTCCTGCTAAGGGCACGTACCTCGGTTGCAGTTTGTCCCCGGCCCTGGTCAGTTGTGCGGGTGGCAACCACTCGATGTGTTCCTTTCACATCGATGTTTCTCTCTCTCTCTTTCTGTTCCTCTCTCTCCCACTCTACCTGAACAAAAAAATGAAGAAGAAAAAATGTCCTCGGGTGAGGATTAAAAAAAAAAAAAAAAAGAAAAAGAAAAAAAAAAAACAATATGAGAAAGGAGATAGATACTGCTTAGGGTATAATAAGTTACAGGTTAGGCTAAGCTGCTAATAACTTGAGACCCAAAAAGACAATGTCTCAAAGAAATGGCAGATATTTATTTCTCTAAAATCTGTTGTCTAGATTTTAGGAGTAGGGATTGACAATATGGCTGTAGGTCAAGTAGGGCCTGCTGCCTCTTTGTAAATAAAGTTTTATTGAAACAACACACCCGTTCGTTATATTATGTCTGTGACTGTTTCACACTACATTGCAGAGTTAAGTAGTGGTGACAGACATATGTCCCACAGAACATAAAATGCTATCTGAGTTTTACAGAAATGACTCATAGTTTAGAGGTATAATTGTGATATACCTAGTCATCCAGGGAATTGGATTCCATCCCCTCATTGTTATGTAATTACTAAGGATAGTGTCTGCATCTACATGGCTAAAGCTTGCTCTTAGGGAGAAAGGGGAAGTAGAATGCTGGGAAGTTTGACACATTTTCACTCACATCCCTCTGGGTAGCTTTAGTCACATGTGACCCCATCTAGCTGCAAGGAGAGTTTGGCTCTGCGCCCAGCTAAAACTTAGGGTGGTGGGTTTGAGAGGTTGAGGCAATCTATATTCAACCATTAGTCTCTGACAGAATATAAAGGTAGTATTTTGAACTGGGTAGTCAGGAAAAACTTTGCAGATTTCAGCAGAGATCTGAAATGAATGAGGGAATCATGTAAATCTTTGGGAGAAGAGTTTTTTGGAAAGAAGAAATAGCAAGGACATTTTCCATTCAATAGACTATTGGCTCCCTCGTATTTTTATCTTTCTTCTGTAACTTTGTTCAAGAGCTAAGCTGTATGAAGGTGTCTGTCACATAAATGGTCAAGTATTTCTTTGTTTATGCTGCTCCCTGAAATACTCTTGATTGTATTCATCTAAGTCTCAGCTGATATTCTTTCTTTTTCAGAAATCTCAGGTCATCTTTTGCCTCTAGTGCTATGTAACTGTTCTATGTCAATTATTGCCTTTTATGTAAGTAATTTCCTTAAGGTGGCATTATACTCATGGTATCTTGAACGCAGAAATATACATTGTTTATTAAACTGGATTGTCAGATATTTATTCTAGAAAAATAATACTTGATATACTCTCACTCCATTCTGGTATACTCAAGAATTGAGTATAAAGTAATGTGTCATTTGAAATACAAATACCATTCACAAGTGAAAGTGGAAACTAGATATAATTTCCTCATTACAGGTAAATACTGCAACAAATGTAGCTGACTTAAACTCAGTTATGAATGAATGCTATAACTACCTAGAGCTTATTGGATGTCTAAGACTTATAACATCGTTAAGTGATAAATATATATTGGCAAAAGACATACTTACTCACCATGTAATTAAGAGAGTCCAAGCACCTTTTGAAAGGTAAGTTATTTATATGTTTAAGATTCACTCAAATTACATGTTAATTGTCTTATAGTGTGAGATATATTTGATTAAAAATTTCAAATGTCATTTTAAAATAATGCTTTAAAACTAACCTGTTAAGGATGATTACTGTTCTGACCATTCTATATAGAACTGCATAAATATATGATGCTCATGTAGAAAAAGTAATCACCATCTGAATTTATAATTATTTTTCTAAATAAAAATTATTTTAAAAATTCCATACCACTTAAGCCAGCTATTTTATCTCTACTCATTCATTTAATAACTATATATTAAGCACATGTCTGCTGGGTCATGAGTACTGAGCATTCTTTGATTAACAAGGTAGATGTGATTCTTGCTCTTTAGCTTGGAACACTGGTCTTCAAACTTTTTGTTCCAATAATACTTTGAAAGAAGTTTGAAAACTTATATATGTCCTTATACTCTGCTTTTTTTTAATAATGAAAAAAAATATATATACAAAAGTAGGCAGAATGCTTTTCATGTAATCATTACCCATATCTAACGATATCAGTCAACCTGTGGTCAGTCTTCTTCATCCATCCTACCCTTCTTATTGACTCCAGTATTATTTTCAAGCTATTATCAGACATCATGTTATCTCAAGAGTGATCAGGTGTTTTTGTTTTTTTATTTTAATATCATTAATCCATAGATTTAAATGTACTTGTGTTGAAACTGTTACAGTTATTATCTATACTAAAGTTCAAAGTGTCTCATCTTTGGCCAGTATAAGCCTTTTTATGTTGTTTCTTTGATGTTGACCCCTAATGGTCTTTGATAGCCATCTTGCTATATGGTATAATAATGTGTTTCAGTTTCATTTTTTGTCACTCTACCCTAATGGACCTTTGTTTCTTTGAATGGGAAATGCATTTCAAAACCACAGTCTGAATGCTAGGGATGCTTATTTTTGCCAGGTTGGTCCTAGTTTCCAGGCCTTCTCAGTAGACCAAAATTAGAAAATGGAGGGGTTTTCTTGTTTTTGTTTTTTAAGATAAAATACATCATGAGTTTATACTGATACTTCAACTTCACTACTACTACAAGATGTTTAACTTTTTCTCTGTCCCATGTTGAGAATCCCAGTTTTCAAAATCACTGGAGCATTAGAATATGAAATAACTACTCACTTGACTTACTCCACATTTTAAAACAATAGTCTCAGAATAACGATACCAACATTATCACCAATAACAAATAGTATTGAAAATAGGTTAAAATTGTTTTTCTATTTTTATTCTAGGGTTTTACTGTCAGATTACTGTGTTTTAAAGTCATTTGTAATAGTTATTTTCTGTGTTGTTATACTGCTAACTGGGTATACTTTTGTCCCTTTTTTTTTTTTTCCAATCCTCACCTGAGGATATTTTTCCATTTATCATCAGATAGAGTGGGAGGAAGGGAGAGAGAGGGATAGGGAGAGAGAGAACATTGATGTGAGAGAGACACATCTACTAGTTGCCTCCTCCACAACCCAACCAAGGCTGGGGACAAACTGCAACTGAGGTATATACCCTTGACCGGAATTGAACCCGAGACTCATTGGTCTGCAGGCCAATGCTCTAACCGCTGAGCAATACTGGCCAGGGCTTCTTTTTTCATTTTTATTTTTAGTGGGTTTTTATTAAAATTTTATTTTTAAAAAAAGTTATGTAAAATATTTGCATGGTTTTAGGGTCAAATCTATAATGAAAGTACATTGAAAGAACTCACTCTGTGATACAAATTGTATTAAAAGAAGTATAGCTTTTGCCCTTAAGCAGTACTATTTTCTTATCATGATTAATACACAGAATAACCTAATATAGTATAATTTTTATTTATACTATATTTTATTAAAATTTATTTGAAGTGATTATTTAAATTTACTTGAAGTATATCTCTTAATGAGATCGATGTACACAACATTTATTTCCCTGACTAGTTCATATATCTACAGATGGATTTTTCAGATTTCTAAGTCGAGGAATTCATCATTGTTTATTTCTTCTGTTTTGTTTTGTTGTAATAGATATGACTAATTTAAATGTCAGGGAGGTCTTCCCTAGCTATATAACTAGTATTTAAATTGAAACTGAGTGATAAGTAGGAATTAGATCAAGATGAAGAGGGCAAGAGTAAAGCTGAAGAGTTATCCCTCCCTTCTATGTAAAATATAAAAATCATATAGCAATAATCTTTTTGTTATTGTTAATCCGCACCTGAGGATATTTCTACATTGATTTGTAGAGAGTAGAAGGGAGAAAGGGGGAGAGAGAGAGAGAAATATCAATGTGAGAGAGACAAATTGATTGGTTGCCTCCCGCATATTGAGGCCAGGGATTGAACCTGCAACCCAGGTACGTGCCCTTGACCTGAAATCAAACCAAAGACCCTTCGGTGCACAGGCCGACACTGAGCCACACTGTCTAGGCACAATAATCTTTTAAATATTATACTTGACCTCATAAGTAAAGAGTCCTAGTGGATGTCAGAAACAAGTAAATGCAAAAGTTACCCTATGAAATCAGAACCATGAGTTTGCATAAACTTGGCTTAGCATCCTGTATGTACCCCCATATGAAGCAAAGACATTAACAAAGTAATTGGTTTTTTTAGAATTCATAGCACTTGTAGAGTGCCAGGTAAAAGCAAATACATAGTAGCTCTGTTGGGAAATTTCTACAGCTTGGGCCTAATGAGAATGCTAAAGAAGTTCCCAATAAAAGACAAAACACACAAACATCCAAAAAATCAAGTTTTGGGAATAGCACTCAAGGATTTAAATAACAAAACATACTGAATGAGATAGAGTATTAGTGGAGTGATTTAAAAATAACACTTCTATGTTGAAAAGTGATCACAGACTTCAGTTCTGGATAACATGGAATAGACACATTTCTCTCTATTCCTTTTGCTAAGTACAGTTAAAAACCCTGAACATTATATATAAAATAAGCATAAGAAAAGTGAAAGGTGGAGAGATGAAAACAGACCAGCTAGAGATCTCATTACCCAAGGAACAACACAGCAGAATGAAGAGGAAATCTAGACATTCTTGTCTAAAGCAAAACTAATAGAATTTGTCACCAGTAGACCTACCCTAAAATAATGCCTATAAGAATTTTTTGAAGCAGAAAGCAAATCATTAAAGGTATAATATTGGACCATCAGAAAGAAAGAAAGAAAGTAAAAAGAATAAAAGCATGTTTTCTTCTCTTGTAAGTTTTCTAAATTATGTTTCATAATTGAGTCAAAAATGGTTCAAAATGTATGTGGAGAAATACTTAGGAAATTATAAACACTGAAAGGCAAAAGAACTTAAAGGGAACTAAGACTTATACATTATTTTACTAGCAAACATATATATATTTTAAAACATACAAAGAGATACACTCACGAGCACTATAGATAAAAATGGAATTTAAAAATTCAAGTAACTCACGGGAGGACAAGAAAAAAGGAAATGATGATCATGGAAATGAACATTAGTAATTGTTAAATGCCCAACAGTTGAAGAAAAAAGTGATCTGGAAGAGGAATATGAAGATTTGTTAGTAACGAAGAGAGATTGAAAAGAAGGTTTTGTGAAAGTTAAAATAATAAGAGAACTTGAACATATGTTTAATATTAATTAACATATATTAATAAATAGGATGGAGGCAGGGCAATATTATAGTAAATGCTGCTTAAACCCTGGCCGGTTGGCCCAGTTGGTTGGAGCATCATCCCATACACCAAAAGGCTGCAGATTTGATTCCTGGTCATAAGGCAACTATTAGATGTTTCTCTCACATCAGTGTTTCTCTGTCTCCCTCTCTCTCTAAAAATCAATAAAAACATATTCCTGGGTGAGGATTAAAAAATAAAGTAAAATAGAAAATAAAAAGACATTGTGAAAATGAGCATCAGTTATGCTTAAAGCAGTGTTTTCAGTAACGTCAACATTAAAAACAGATAGCCAAGGTAATAACGTCACACAACTAGTTACACTATCATTCAAGAGTGAGAGAAAAGAAAGAAAGACATATGGGGACAATTTACCTTATTCCTAAAGAGATTAATAAAATACATATTTAAGATAGAAAGACATTGAACCTAGAAAGAAAAAGGAAGGTACAAGAAGCAGCAGTGAACATAGGAATGGTAAGAACATGCGTAAAGAAAAGTGCACATTGGCCATTAAAAAAAGAACTAAATTTTGGTTATATGGTTTAAATAATTAAAATATTAGTGAAAGATTAATCTGTAAGATGAAAATGGATATTATTGGATTTATTGTTTTAAGGGGCTTGTATTGTTGAAGTAGTAGTAATGGGGCAGCATCATTTTGCTTAAGATTATTAAATCAAGTATTTATCTTTTAAGGACAAATTCTAAAATAACAGAAAGAGAGTATGTAACTTCCAAACCACTTTAGTGGGGTTGGAGGAGAAATAAAGAAAACACATTTAATCTTATAATGTGCAAAATATAGGAATAAAAACAAGCAAAGAAAAACACACCTTCATTTAGAGAAACCACATTATAACTAGAAAAGTAAACTAAATTTAGAATTGTAACTATAATACATGTAAGTAAACATTTTTGTAAAAAAGATAGGATCTTAAATTGCATTTTAAATAAAGGACTTTTTAGATGGTGGGCAGGACCAGAGTGAGGGTGATGCGTGACAGTGAGCAAATGTGAGAGAGGGTGAGTGGATGTGAGTGTGGATAAGCAGCCATGAACAGTGCAGAAACTCCCGTGGTATGGACAGGGAGCAGCAGCCGGCTACCGGTAAGTGGATTGTCAGGGCACTTCTCTCTGCGCAGCTGGAAGGCTCCTCCATTTTGGAAGATCCCTGGTCTTCTCTGGGAGGAGGCAGCAGGGAACAGCTAGGGCCAAGCAACCTGAATCCATCAGACCAGTGGACCCCACTGTGTCAACGTGGACCATCCCACAGTAGAAGCACTATTGAGATGCCTGCTGTGGTAGATGCAACCAGC